ACAACATGTTCACTAAATTTTTAACTGTGTATAAAGGGCGCAAGTAGCTACAAGTAGTGCAGTGGGCCTTTTAAACCTCTTCCATCACCAATTTAAAACAACCAACACCTCTATAGCACCAGTAAAACAATTCGTCCCTATTTTCACGAAGTGACGGTAGTGAATGAAAATCGCATTCACTTTGTGTGCGGATTTTCCTCACTACCGTCACTTCGCGAAAACAGTGACGAATTAATGGTTCACTCTGAATTTTTCGGGCGGGGTCCATATTTTGTTGGTGAGTGCCCGGGAAGAGACGATGGAAAGATGACTCATGAATCTGTAATGTATTGGGTGATAGTAAAAGCATTTGAAAGTCAACAGGTCACTCTCAGCGACGGGCGTTTCCAGCATATGGGGGTGTTGGGGGTCAGTGGCGTGGCTACACGGGGGAAGGAAGCATGTCTTCCCAACCTCACCCCATCAAGTTCTGCGATCACTGTTAAAGGCCCACTGTACTACTTATAGCGATTTGCGCCCTCTATATAGCAAACAATGCGTACTCGGTGCATGATGGTCCACCATGATCCCCTTTTTCTTATATTAATTGAGAGCCGATTTGATGCGATATCCACCTGTTAGTAACCTTGCAGGGAGGTATAATAGTGGGCTCTCATGGGGAATTCGACAACACTCGGGTGTTTACCCCCAGTAACAAGTGTTGTCAATCACCAGGATTAGTTTTCATTTTAATGACGAACAGGCCTTATATGTAATATTCTGCATTTTCCACCGATCGCACAATATGGAATAGTCATCATCTTACAATTTCCTCACCCGATTCTCCATTAAAACAGGGGTAGTTTTTGATGGGACCACGGTTTGCTGCTTGTGAGACTTGTGACATAATGCACATGTTAACTTACTATCATCTTCCTTTACTATTGTTTTACTCGCGTGAGACCACCCCCCCCCCCCACTACCAACGACATGATTCCAGCCCCTCCCCCTCTCCCCTCCATGTGTCTAGATAACGATAACTCATAGCGACGGGCCATTGGTTGCATCAGTGATGGTCTGCCATTTTATCTAGAGAGGATGGTTAAACGTAATGAATATTCATTTGAATTGTCAGGAAAAGCGGTGATCTGTTCGACTATATACAATGATAATAATAACAATAACGATAATAATGATAAAGTGTTCTTTCAAGTAGATTCTTGCATAGCGTTCATGTCTGTCGTGACCTCTACAATTAATATATAGGCCTATATGGAATTAAATGAACTTGCTTTCACGTAATTACAGCTGGATATTATTGTATATTAAACCCATGTTCCCACATTCTCAATGTAGCGTGTCCCTTTCCTCTTGTTTCTAATTATTATGCCCCCCCCCCCCATTCGAATTAGAAGCCTCCATGCAGCATGTAGGATCTGCTTTAATGCATACCAACTATTGCTATTCTATAAATATTGCGAGTGGTGACTGTACTACCTGTTCATTTCCAGGAATCTATCTTTTTTTAAGGAGTTTCCCATAAATACTAGCCATTTCGCAAGAGAAAATTATAGTGGGGAACTTTCAAAGTCTCCATGTGATTCGCCCACACGATCAATCAAAATTCTCTTCATTTGTATCGCATACATTGTTTGCAAATTAGCAAACCCATTGACGCCTGCTCGCGGGGGTTTGATCAAACAATTTCTTCCGGAACTCGGATGGTTTACTTCCGGAACTCGGATGGTTTACTTCCGGGTACTATCAACCTCTTCCGGTCGTAAGTAATACAGGTCTCTACCGAGAGTGACAGACCGCTTCCTCTCAATGATTAATGGTTGTAATTGATAAAGCGCATGTTGATATAATTTCATCAAACTACATGTAGCAACAGATACATCCTATTTCTTCATCAGCTATCTCTTGGCAGTTCTTTATCTCTCAAAGAGATTGGGTAACTTTGTCTCATATTCTGAAACAAAATCATTGATTTAGCTCATGTTGCAATGATAATTATAAACTTTTAGGTCATACATGAATCCCATGACTTTTACAAACCGATCGCTTGTCTGATTATCAAGATATTTATAATTTAAAATCAAGAACACCTAACGGTTGTTATAACACTACAGTCTACTGGGTAAAATGAGTATGGTGAAACCGGTCACTCAAAGATTTTTACTTTTTGAGGCACTTCACTATCATTTTGAAGCGCGAATTGTTTAGGGCTACAATATTACACCATATTACAGACACTAATAACACGTAGGGCCATGTATCTCAGATTTAACATTGTTAAACGATGTCTAAAACACTTCTTACGTTGAAGGACTAGTTCTGGGAAAGGTGAAAAATAGTTTTTGAGCTTTTTCATTCTTCTATGTGAGTGTGGCAGAGTGTCAGCTGAACGGAATGGCTCTTCAAATGGCCTCATATTCGAAATATGACGAGAAACAGCTAAAAGTTATGGACCACACTTCTATGCCACAGTTGTGTGTTGTTCCATTTACACACGTATGGGTACAGTGCATGTGACGTTTAGGAAGGCTGATTCCGAAGACTAATTAATATAGAACAATACTTATGCAACTATTTCGTGCAATTAGATTACCAAAATTACATTTAAAGTATTCCCACCATAGAGTGGTAATTGGTAAATCAATAATGATAAATCAAATTCAACATCCACTAATATAGCGAAAAACATTCCTAAAAAGAAAGAAAAATCTGATTTAGCTGATACAAAGAAAGTCGTGGCGAAATCTTGACTGTTTTAAATACAACAGTCATTTATGATTACATGCATTATCTACATATATATATATATATATATATGTGTGTGTGTGTGTGTGTGTGTGTGTAAACTATCTGCCTTTATATAGGAAATCATGAAACAACATGGGATAAGTTGAACAAAATATTGTTGAAAATCAATCAAATAGAAACCGATGTGCTTTTCGTGTGCGTATGTGCCTGTGTCTGCGGGTATATGGTGGGTGGTTACCGCATAACTGGGGACATTTAAATGAACTGCACCTTCAGTTCAAAGACCACTTGAAAAATGAGGGGGGGGGGGAGTCACAACGATCTTAAGTTGAAATTATCTCTAAGTTGGACTTAACAATTATGGAAAGGCATTAGCATCCTTGAAAATAATTTGTATAACTTATTTTAAAATGCATAAAATGTTGACTCAAATCATTGATATTTTTTATTATCATGGCAGATTTCATGTTCTTGATGTGGAAATTATGAAAAGTCTAAAATACTTGAATTTTTGCTTTTGAACATATTTCATTATAAAGCTAAAAATGGCTCTCCATGATATTTAAGTCCAACTTAGAGTTAAGTTCGACTTAAAATCTTTGTGAAACACCCCCGAGGACTGGTTAAAAATGTTTTTACCTTTCATATAGGTGTACTTTTATTTAAGTACTGTATGTGCAGGGTAAATTCCCAGATCGTCTTCGTTATGTTATATTTCTACAAAAAAAATTGTGTCTTCGAATACGAAACAACATATTGATGTGTATTATGAGTCATCGGTTTACACCGCACACGTGTGTGAATCTGTGGGTGCGGGTCAGACAATACACACACCATTTTACGAAACCTCTATGTTGCATTCCATTCCATTTCATTAGACTTTTTAGTTTAGAGGTATGTTTAAAGGTACTATGATCCTTTTGCAGGCCAACAAAATGAAAAGGTTAAATTCCAATGGCATTTGAAAGAGAATATTAATTTAGAACTCCCCTTCAAAATATGGGGATTGAAAGTGTCTTTAAGGGGAAAAATAACGACTATTAGTTGTCAAATCGACTTAGGAGCTATAGAGCCAATAAGTAATAGTCTTGATTTTCAGACCATTGTACCGCGTGGTCGTACGTTTTATGCTGCGCAAAGATCCACTCAGTTTAATTTTGGCCAATACTAGAAGTGGGTTATTGATGTAGACAAATTCTTTACAGCTCATTTTATGTATGTTATTACCAAAGAAGAAGAAAAGGCCAGTCAGTCACTCAATACTGACAATAGTGTCTGACAGTGAAGTATACCGAGTAAACGGGTTTCCTTGCATAATTTTAATATTAGGACACTGCTAGCGTTTAAATTTCACAGATATGACATACATGACATATTCATAATTCCTGCAAAGTTCTACAGAATTTGAGGATGGCTGCACAAGGGACATAGTATCTTTAACGTGTTGAATTTGTCGATATATTATTTCGAGTGATTAACGTTTAGTAACTTTGTAGAGGTGTAAGTAATTTTGAGTTTTTAATATAAACATGTGTTAAGACTCATATTTATTTCGAGGTTATAACTTTGAACTCATGTAAGATCTGAATTTGAGGAGTAACACCATTTGACAGGTTCATTAACTCATTCAAATCTATGGATGTTTCTTTCCTGGCGACCTGGCAACGAGTTATTCCAGTAACCTGTTATTCATCAATGAACTATACGAGGCTTAGAATCCAGTCTACATGCATTAATAGTTGCTATGTCGGGTAAGCCTCGGGTAAACTTTTGGGTTGTCAAGAACAACCATTGTTTACAATTTGTGCATCAAACGTGGATATGTTAAAAATAAGATATTGGTAATTCTCTGGTTTCTGACCAAAGTAGAAAAAGTCTGGAAAGAGAATAGTTATGGAATTTTAGGGTTTAGGACTTAGGGTTAGGGTTAGGATTATGTTTAGGTTTAGGATTAGGGTTAGGGTTAGGTTTATGGATAGGGTTAGGTTAAGGGTTAGGGTTAAGTTAAGGGTTAGGGTGAGGTTTAGGGTTATGGCTAGGTTTAAGGTTAGGGTTAGGTTTAGGGTTAGGTTCGGGGTTAGGGTGGCCGTGAAGGTGAGGAAAAATGCGTAACTATTCTCTTTCCGGGCTTTTTTATACTTCGGACAGAACCTGGAGAATTACCCCGTCTTGAATCACATACAATTTTCATCGACCATAATAGCCCATCTCCTAATTATGTTCACATAACTATTGCAAGAGTACTTCATACTTACGCGAATCATTGACACGAGCACGAGACCTTCTCGCTTCTATGCCCACCGAAGACAGCAGAATTATGGCGGCTATTACCCAGGAGTAGAGGAAGATGGAACTTATGGAGGCCATGGTTATGAATTCCGAATAACTTTCACAGAAAAAACTTTCGAAGACACTGATTCCTTTGTGATAACAATGTTCGCAAGTCAATCGTTACAAGATGATTGATATTTCCAGTACTGTGCGCTTGATAACTTCCAAATCCTTTCGGCGACTACGTTAAAATTCCCGTATTATTCCAACAGCATTCTGTATTTAAGAAAAAAATGATATAGTGACTAACTGATGGGGAAAGGCAGTCACACGTTCAACTCCTACACGCGTTACCAGAACAATCACAATGCCCTTCACAAAGTAACTGCACCTTCCTTCCTTTTTAGGCACTGCTCATATATTTTCGGAAGTCACGTTCTAAATTAAAACGACCGTAGACCTCGGAAGCAATGTGTGAATGTAAATTGTTAATTTAAACTGAGTTGGTTCGGTATTATAATTATAATAAAAACTGATTTTGGGGAGTCCGACGCTACTTCAATTGTCATGTATGTTTACCAATACATACATTATTCGTTAATATAGTTGTTGTTTTTAAACATAACGAGTTTAAACAGAGTCGATTCTTCTCCTTGTTCACAAATGACGTTACAGTTCCTAAAAAAGGAATTACAAGCTACCTGTTTAGGGTAAATACTCATTAAACACCAAACAATGTCCGTTGATAAGAAATGTGTTTTTTTCCAAAATTATCAGAATTAAAGTGATTATTATCCGATGTCAGATAAGCTTAACACTATTCTTCTCTCTCCGCTGAAAATAACACTTATTGCGTCAAATGCATATCTGGTGTAAGGCTTCTGCCTACTATCATCCAGCTAGGTGAACTGCTGCAGATTTTAACACTTCTTTAATATGTGTTCAGTGTTTAAGACCTAGACTCACACTGCTCTTAGTGTTCTGTGCGGCTGGTGTTTGAGTTATCAACTCGCATGCACACAGATTGTAGGTTGTTCGTTAGGTTGATCAAAAATGGCACTGTATTGGTCTCTTCCGTGTTCCACACTTCTCAAGGTGTTAGTACCATGATTACATGGTTAACTCACACAGCTCACGCTTTGGACCAACTTGGGATACCTGGTCCTGGTCCTAGTCCAATCGATCTGTCCCAGTTGCGCTTACGGATCTAGACCCCAAAAGGATGCCTTCATTTCATAGGAGCAGAACAGTACACGCTCAATGCAGCAGCACACAATTCACAGGCACACAACGCAATATGGCTGTGCTAGCATCCGCCCTTCGTATACGTGCAAAACGACATATATAACCACTTTCTGTCGACGTGTCAAATTGCGCTCCATATAACCACTAGAAAATAATCCTTTAACCTGTTAATACCCCATCCGACGTTTCCTTTTATCGTTGAACATGCAATTGACTATTCATTGAAAGGCCTTATTTTGCATATCACATTATGTTCGCCCAACGCAACGGTATTATGCAATCTTATTTTTAATATAGCTTTCGTAGCCCAGTTGTAATACGGTTCTGCCCGTTTTGGCATCAACTCGGTATGGCATCGAACGAGCCGATTCCAACGTTATGGCTCCAAGCGTATCAAGATGACAGTTAAATGGCAGATGTGTTTAGACGTGAAGCCATCTTTGAATGGTTTCTCTTTTTCAATGTCTACCACTCTGCTATGTCCATGAATTTAGTTGAATCATAGAGGTTTCGCGGTCTAGTGGAAACGTCGCTGGACCGTGAATCACATGGTTCGCGGTTCACGTCCCGCTGTGGCACCAAAGATGCTCAGTAAGATATTAATCTACATTTGCCACTCTCCAATGCGGTAGAGTAAACAAATATTGTAAACAGAATTGCGTAAATATTTGGTAAATCGGACCAACAGTAAGAAAGTTATTACATTTTTGAAATATTTATGAGATCACTAAGTCTATGCAAATCTAAAATCGGTAAAATTTTCAGTGGATTGTGACGTGGTCAAGGAAGACTCTATAGTTTGTCGTGTGCATAAATATAATTAATCTCTGCTTTTCTCCTTAGTTCATTCTCCATTGGGACACAACTTAAATTATATTTTGTATATCATAACGTTATAGGTCGTATAAAGGGAAAAGACCCTTCTAAGCCATACATCATTGACAAATTGACACTTTAGTAACGTTGTGTGTTGGAACAATTAGGAAAGTTGACTGCCTCTACATTACAAACACATTTCCCATTCAGCCAATTTGAAAAGCCATAATCATAATTTCCCCATCTTTTGTCCGATTTCATTCAAACATTCACCATCCTACTTTCAAAGCTGAATATTCCTTCAATATATCAAGAATGCCAATCATTCGAAGTTGTGAATCAGTAAATAAGAAGAGTTGTACTTATTCATATTCGATTACTGCTGGTATATCACCGCCTGAACACGCGTCAGACGGGTTTAGATAGCTGTCAAACGACCGGATAGAGAAGGGAAGCTCGTTAGTTTGGTACCGGAAGCTGGGCAGAGGAAGCCAGTATATCCTAACCAGTTAGAACTTTACGCACATTATATACCTAGTCCACACAAGGATTTATAACATGGTTGGTCCTTAACACTTCGGTTGGCTTCTTCGCCTCTCTCCGCAGTCGCTCGTTTCCCACACGTGTAATTTAGCACACAAATATGAAATAATTGATGGAAACAAGGATTTATAAACATGGTTGATCCTTAAAGGGACTCGGTAACATTGTTCAGATGGGGGAAAGTGGTGCTAAGGTAGTGACTTCAATGATAGGTATACAATTAAAAATAATCTGAAAATTTGATTGAAAACGGACTATTACTAATGATACAAACTGGAAAAAACTGATCTGACCGATTCCTTAATTCTCCTAACTATATTATTACAATTTGATTATATTTTAGGTGAATGTAAATCGTCACAAAGCAATAAATTTGCTCTACATACCATTTCAGACATTTAAGTGTTAAAATATTTTTAATAGCCTGTTTTATCTTTTTGTCATGGAAAAACGGTTGGGATAATTCAAAAATGGTTAGGAGAATTTACTGTGAATCACTATTAGAGAGTGTTGCACAGTGACGCCATCAAAGAAAAACCATAGATACCTTGCATGTTAGAGGATTATTACAGTAGAAGGAATATGATAATTAACATTTTATACAAAAATTAAGCAATTGTTTCATTAACCTTCAACAATGTTACCGAGTCACTTTAACACTTGGGTTGGCTTCTGCGTCTCTCTGCACGATCCCTCGTTTCACACACGTGCCACACAACAAATATTAAATAATTGATGGACGGATTTGTTGTTAATGCTTCATAACAGGTTTGCAAAATTATCCATTCCCGGTCTTGATTAGTTCCATGAAAACCCTTTTAATACCGAAAGAATAAACTTTGCACTGGTAGCAGTAACATATTTTTAAAGCCTTCAATTTATCTATCCCAAGATAGATATTCAGAGGTCAAAACCTTAACACCAGCTGATTTTTTTATTTCGGTGTTTAGGGCTGGTGTTCGTGTTTGTTTAACACTAACACTGGCCCTAAAAACCCAACTTGAAATCACTCAAATGTGGCACAGGAAGGTTATTTGTGTGACATCATTTATACAAAGTCGAAAAACTTTAAAATTCAGACACTATATCGGAGTAGATTCCATTGTATTTTGCAGTACATTCAACCCCAATAAAAGTGATAAATATACAATTCCTAATAACAGAATGTAGTAGTTTCGGCAAATCTATTATGGGAGTATATATAGGAGGTCTGTGTCCGCTCTTTCTATCTTAAAGTTTACCTTCATTCTGTCTCTGCTAAATTAATCCTATCTTTGAATGCGTCCCATTAGGCGTTATATACAAGATGTTGCATTGCCCTTTGCGACTGACCCAAAAATCTTCAAATTTACGGTCGACTTTTTAATTATTTTTTTAAAACCGCATTTTAGAAAAAAACAAGTATCTTATTTGTTTTAATGGGATATAAATGCATAAAGTCATCAAATTATTTCCAAATTTTCACTCGTATTCTGCCCTAGTTTCGAACTCCTGCTAGAGTTAACAAGTAGACGCCTGTCTCGTGTACGAAACCAGCGAGATTTGGGCACCGTTACCGGTCTTGAATTGTTGTGGCGACGGGCGCTGTTTTGAAGGGGGGGGGGGGGTTAAAAATCCGATCAACCGACCCATGTTCTGGCACTTAAAGGGCAATACAACATCTTTTTATTAAAAGCCTTATACTTTTATCTATCAGTCCAATTTGCCCTGTTACGCTTCTTACTCTCTCACTCCTTGATCGTTTTCCCTACTTTCTTTCTCTTCGCCATGTAATTTTCCTTCTCTTCTCTCTAACAAAAACTAAAATGTTAATGAATTGACTACTGAATTATCTTATTCCCATAGACTTTGTACATGGACCACCCGGCTCGTGTAGGCAATGGATTTTATCATATATTGTTAAGAATGTCATATTAACATTTACGACAAGCTACATTCAACTTGTATATAGTGGGCCAGCATGTTTAAAGTGTTAATCTACCATTTTGAAAAAGTGGTCCCTTATGAGTCCTTTAAATGGTGATTTTAACATTGCTATTGTTAGAGTGTATCTTTTGACCACCCCTCCCCCTCTCTCTCTCTCTTTCCTTTTCTCTCCCCCTTCTCTCTCTCTCTCTCTCTCTCTCTCTTTCTCTTCCTCTCTCGCTCTCTATCTCTCTCTTTCTTCCCCTTTCTCTTTCGATCGATCGATGCATATTGATGAGTAATTTAAAGAAAACTATGATTTGATAGAAGCAATGCTGAAACACGTGTTTGGATCTACTATCCTTCCGTTTAGAAAGAAAAGAATAACTTATTCAAATCCGGTTACAATACAGTCATAGACAAAGGTTGTTTTGTATTGCTTTATTTTATTTATTTATTTAAATCAAACTATTGCGCAATGAAGGATACAAAAGAGTTCATCGTTTTCTTCTACCTAAGGCTTACTCTTTTCAAATAATTCTTTATTCTTCAATTTCTAGAAGAGTGTTTTTCAATGAAATATCGTGTAGTACTAATCTGTACATGTAAATATATTCACTTTTCGATTCCTGTAAACAACACTCATTATATTATACATGTTTTGTATTCATGCACACATACCATTACCAGTTATGTGTATAATTACCAGACAGCGCGTCAAATAACAACACTACACAAAATAATTATGTTGATAACTTTAAGCAGTTACTTCCTACTTACTTACAAACGTGATATGTATTAACACAGTCTGCTTCAAATAGGTGAACAGAAACAGGGCTGAAAACTTATACTAAATTGCCAATACAAAGAACAAAATATAATTATTTTTTAGTTAATCGCAGCTAGAGCATCAGCAGCGGTCGTCGTTGTGGTCGTAGTAATAGCAATAGCAGAATAGCAGCAGCAGCAGCAATAGTAGTAAAAATAGTAGTAGTAGTAGTAGTAGTAGTAGTAGTAGTAGTAGCAGTAGCAGCAGCATTTCTAATAGTAGTAGTAGTAGTAGTAGTAGTAGTAGTAGTAGTAGTAGTAGTATAAGAAAAAGTAGTAGCAGTATTCCCACTTGTTATTGTTTTTTGTATCATAATAGTATGATAGGAACATAAAGTTTGTTTAGGGCGGTCGCAATAATAATAACAATAACAATATTTATAAAGCGCAACATATCCATCTCTAGAGATGCTCAAGGCGCAAGAAAGAACGGGGGAGTGGTTTAATTATGGCCTTTCGTTAAATACTTTTATATGTAAGCTTTCGTATGGGGCATTCTCCAGAGATATAAATCGGGGCAAATCATTTTTAACAAATTACAAAACCTTGTTTAGGGTATGAATAATTTAGTTGTTTACTGTGAACAAGTTATTTCTTCAGCAACGCGCCACATTTTTAATCATATCCCCTTTCATCTCAGTTTTACCTTTACTATTTCACACGATTGCCTTTACCTATGTTTCCCAGTTTGTCCATTTATATCTGCAATGTTCGCTTTATCATTGTATTTGCATGGAGAAAACAATATATTAGGTATTGTAGCATTAAAACATTGATAAATCTTCATCAAAGAGATGTTTTCTCATTCATTTTCAGAGAGACTGTGATCACTTATTACTCATTGTATTATGTACGGAGGTTACACGTTTTTTGGTGATTTTTAATTGGGAAAAAGTATAACTTTCATTTAATCCGTGAGCTCTGGATCAAACCATTGGTAGTAGTAGTAGTAGTAGTAGTAGTAGTAGTAGTAGCAGTAAAAGCAAAGTAGAATTTACAGAAACAATAATAGAGATATATATTAAGTAATATTTCTTTAAAGTAATATATTAACAATTTAGTCTCAAAAAAGTTTAAACTATTCATAAAAGAGATATTTTCTCATTCATTGTCAGAGAGAAAGAGAGATGCATTGTGATCACCTCTAATAGATTGTAGAAGTAGTAGCAAGGAAGGTTAAATTTACAGAACAATATAGGCATATATTACGTGATATTTCTTTAAAGTAATATATTAACACTTTACTCTTAAAA